TAGCCCAGGCTGGCCTCGAACTCACAGAGATCCGCCTGGCTCTGCCTCCCAAGTGCTGGGATTAAAGGCGTGCGCCACCACCGCCCGGCTAATTTTTTTTTTAAAAGATTTATTTACTGTGTATACAGTGTTCTGACTGCATGTATGCCTGCAGGCCAGAAGAGGGCGCCAGATCTCATTACAGATGGTTGGGAACCACCATGTGGGTGCTGGGAATTGAACCTGTGTCCTCTGGAAGAGCAGCCAGTGCTCTTAACCTCTGAGCCGTCTCTCCAGCCCTGGTTTCTTAATTTTTAAGACAGGGTCTTACTATGTAGCTCTGGCAGACCTGGAACTCGCTCTGTAGACCAGCCTGGCCTCGAACTCCCAGAAATCCACCTGCCTCTGCCTCCTGAGTGCTTGGATTAGAGGTGTGCGCCACCACCACACCTGGCTTCTAGGTTCTTTCTTGGCAGTTAAAGCACCAGGCCTTGTTCTCCTAGGCCACAGCCCATGGCCCGGACATCACGGCCACAGGCCCTTCACCACGTCCACAGCCACAGTCCTTGTGGTCTCTCTGGGCATGGGTATGTGTGGGTGCGCACCTGCCTTGGCCAGAGACCAACTCTGGCGCTGGCCCTGGCCTGCCTGGCGGGGTGGACGCCAATTACAGACCCCTGCTGAGGCGCCTGGCTTTCTCATGGATTCCAGGGACTAAGTCAGGTTTAAACTTCTCCTCCTCCTGTCCAGAGCGCTGGTTCACAATGGAGCCCAGGGCTCTACCTCCCAGCTCAGCCCCAGCTTACAGTCTTGATGTGCAGATAGCAGGGGCCACCCACGCCCTCCAGACACCAGGGAGACCGCGTCTGCTCGCAGGCAGCCTTGCCCCTCCGCAGGCCCTTCCTGGCGGCCGTGGAGGCCGACGGCTGCAGTACTCACTTTGTTCTGACGGGTACTCTCGGGTCGGCAGGTACACTGAGGGACGGCGGTTCTGTGAACGGGGAGCGGTGGGTTAGCTGGCAACCCTCGCCCTCAGGACAGCGACGCCACCCCCAGCCCCACACTCACCGAGGCCTTGCACACGGAGTCCGCGTGGAACCTGCTGAAGTTGCTCTTGTTGTAGACCGGCAAGCCTTTCAGAAAGTCTGCCTGGAGACAGGGGTGGGCGTGAGGCCTCTGCTGCAGCCCGAGAGCACACCAGGCCCGCCACCCGCCGCGCTCCAGCGCCACAAGGGCAAGGGGCCCTCCTAGGGGTCCCCATGACCTGTGACCAGGCCAGAGGGGACCTGAGGCTGCCTGGTTATTAAACTATTTTTCTACATGTATCCGCTGTGCTATGTATGTTTGTGCGGGAGGGTGTGTGTGATGACAGGTGTGCACACTGTGTGTGCACCCTCCTTCCTCCAGGGCTCCCACCACCGCCACGCTCGGCCACCTCCAGCCTGCAGCTGTTTAAGTACACTTCCCCTGGGTACAGCATGCACACCTGTCATCTCAACGTCCAGGAGGCGGACACAGGGGGATGCCTGGGCCACAAAGTGGGACCCTATCTCACAACAACAACAACCACCACAGCAATCCCAGCAGAGGCAGGTGGATCTCCGAGTTCAAGGCCAGCCTGGTCTACATAGTGAGTTCTAGGGCTACACAGAGGAAACCCTGTCGTGAAAAATCAAAAACAAACAAACCAAAAAAGGCAGTAATGAGAGACTATTCAGAAGATGGGCTCGGTGGTGCATGCCCCCCATCCCAGCACTCAGGTGGGGGTGGGACAGGGGCTGCCTGGCCTGGGAGCCTATCCCACAACACACACGGAGGGAGCTGGCTGCTGGGGCAGGTAACCCTGTCTTGAGTTCACCTAGCTCAGGGAGGCAGCCAGGATGTTTGTTCATTCTCCAAATGTCACTCGGGCTGGGGAGGGGTAGTGGATGAAAGTGCACAAGCCTGTGGCTCCGGGTGTGATCCCCGGGAGGTGTCACTGTGTGTGCCCCTGTACAGACGGCCGCAGGTCCACGTTACTGCTTCCCTGTAACATTCCTAAGGTTCAGGTCCGGACCCCTGGGTGACCTTCCAGTGAAGCAGAGATGCCTGCATCAGTGGCCATTCTCCCTCCCCGCTTCTCCCGCCGGCCTGGAATGTCCCTGCTCCTGCTCTGGGGCCAGCTCAATGTCCCAAGAGCTGCGCCTGACCAAACCAGGGTGCGGGCTCCAGTGCTCCCCCTCCTAAGCCCCCCAGGGTTCCCTGGCCGGACCACTGCTACACACTGGGGTGGGGGGCGCTCCAAAGCAGAAGAACCGAGGTGTTTGGGGCCATTCGTCCAGAGGGTTCTATGGGTGGCTTGGTGCAGAGGCCAGGCTGGTCTGGGCTCGGGGAGCTCCCTAGGGCAGCCATGCGGAGGGGAGCCTGCCCTGCCTATGTCCCCCACTGTCACCCCGGCACTCGGGAGGTCCACAGGGACACCGGTTTCAAAACAACAAGTAATCTCCACTCTTCCCAGGAGCACTGGCCTGTCTCATCTCTGGCTTGTCACCCAGCTGGGACATGCCCCCCACGTTTCCCGCCATCTCAACGACTTGCCGAGCTGTGCCCAGACTGCGGTGCAGGTCTGCAGCACGCCTCACGCCTCCCTACGGCCTCGCGCGGGCTGGGCCCAGGCAGAGCTGAGAAGACCCCACAACCCCACACCAAAGCCAGGCCTGCTGCCGGCTAAGTGACCTGGACGCGACCTCCTAGCGAGGCTGCATCCCCCCCATGTGGTGCACCCCCCATGCAGTGCATCCCCCCATGCAGTGTGCACTGCCATCTCCAAGTACAGCTCAGGGTGGCAGCTGAGACACGCAGGGCAAAAGCTGGGGACAGAGGTCCCTCAGAGCAGGGCAGGTCTGAGAGAAAAGACAGGACCCCCTCGGGTCAGCTGGCACACACGGCCTCAAGACACAGGGGCCATCCCTCTCAGGGGCCTCAGGGTCAAGGGAAGCTGTGCTCCAGGAGGCCACAGCTCTGGCGGAGGCGAAGCTGGTGCAAAGGTCCTGGGACAGCAGGAGCCTGGGAGGCAGAGGAAGTGAAAACAAGCCCAGTGTGCCTTGCTGAGGGGAGAGCTGAGCAGGTGGGGATGAGGTCACAAAGCAGGGCATTGCCCCCTGGACGGAAGCCAGGAAGAGATTCACCACAGGGAGCCCCGAGGATGCTTTATAAGCTAGAGAGTGTGCAAAATGTCTTAGAAAAACCCCTGATTCTAGGTGAACTAAAGGCGGCCACGGGCCTGAGATGGGAAGGGGTAGGGAGGAGGCTGGAAGGGGCCTCCGGGAGGTGGCAGGGTCGGAAGCAGGGTGGGTGGCAGGAGGAGATTCCTGGTGTGGAGGAGGAGGTTGCAGAGGTGAAGCGGGGACCCCACGGCCACGTCTCCCCCTTCCAGGGACTCTTCTGTGTGACTCATGACCCATTCTCCAGGGTGTGGGCTGGCATCTGGGGTCTGGACTCACCCCTGCCCAGCCCTGAGGTGTGGCCATCACCCTGGGCCGGAGAGGAGGCGCCCCAGCCCCAAAGAACCCCGGGGCCCACGACCCAGGGGAAGTCTGGGGGCTCCCGCCAGGTCACGGGGTGGGAAGACCGGGGACAGCGCAGGAGGCTGCCCCTCGCGGTCGGGGGGCCCGGTGCTCGCCCCGCCGACGTCCCGTTCCAAGGGCCGGGCACCCTCGTTCTGCAGACAAAGCTGCTCCCTCTCTGCGGACGGAGGGAGGGACGGGGACCCGGGAGGGCGGCCGGCGCGGTGTCGCCCCTCCCGTGGTGACAAAGCCCTGCCTGACACGGGGCCATGCTGCCCAGACCCGCCCCTCAGACGCCCGGAACCGGGGGAGCCGCGCCGAGGCACAGCCCGGAGCGGGGGGCTCGAGGGACCCCACCCCACCCCAAGTGATTTCCGGAGGGGAGCGAGGGAGGGGGGGGACGGACACAAGAGACAGTCGCGACCCGGAAACGAAAGAGTTGCCAAGGCCTGGACGCCTACCTAGGGTCAGGGGTCGCAGAAAGCGCCGGGGTGGGGTCGGCGGGCAGCCCGCGGGGGGTCGGGGGAGGGGCCGGGGGTCATA